AAACGGGCGCACGAAATTGCATGGTTAATGGTTGTTCAAACTGAAACTGAAACCTGTGCAGATGATGGGAATACGAATGGTGAGGAATAGTGTGACCCAAAGGACTCCGTTTCAGTTCTGTTTGTACAACCAATAATCGTGAATTTTCGTGCACCGGGTTTGGTTGCTATCTTTTGGTTGACCATTTGGATGGAGGGGTAGAGGAAAGACAGGAAAGTTGAAAGTCGAAGAGTCGAACAGAAAATGAAGAATTACAGTGGGGTCTAAGGTTGCAAAGAAATTGAGAAGGTGTACAAACACCACTGTTTACGATACTCAACCATATCACTCAGTGTCTCTAACGATTAAGTACACTGATCCGGAGATCCCCATTCAGGGAGTCTAACGTGACCAATATGATCGAATCTCCTGTTTAGGGTTTTTGTTTCTTCTTTTTTCTCCCTCTACCAGCCTCGGCTAACATCATTCGCCGTGGCAACCTATCTGGTGATTTACATGTTTCCACCAGTGACCATTTGCTCCAAAACGAAGACCACGGTTACCTAAAACTCTGCTCCTAACCTCAACATTTCTCATCCGACTGCCCCACCAGATTTACGCAATGATGCGTAGACACTGGACTCTGTAATATTCTACCCCGTTTTCGTCCTTTTATCGATTGGATAAGTGCACAGCCAACATTTATGAAGGAAAAAGCGATCAATCAAAGGACTACCGTAGGTTATGAATGAGGATGTTTAGCTTCACTGGCGGGATTTTTTCACACAGGATTTCCGAGGCCGTAAATAGAGAACTCATACAGCTTGAAAATTGCCACCTGTTGTGGGGTCGGTCATGGTAATGAACCTAGGACAATGGCGTTCTTGCTCACACTTCTCATGACACCAAACTTCTTCTTGAAAATGTTTGTACAAATATCGATAAGAAGAGCCTGACGGACCGCAGATTATTTAGTCCTGAATAATTTAAACACTGTTTGGTCCTGAAGGATTAAAATTGAGTGAGCAAGTGCGTCCCCGTGTACACGAGCATACTGTTTGCTGTAAACAATTCCAGTACACAACAGTGAGCACACAGGCAGTGATTGTGAAAAAAAGTGACCGAGTCCCCATTCATCCTTTTGATGCGCATATTTGCACCGGTTAGGAAATGCAGTTCAATTCACGGATGTGAATATAGATCCACGATCAGTTAGACAGAAAATTAGAAAGAAACGAGGGCGGGCGGTGGTGGGATTTGGACTTTGGGCCGTTTTGATTAGTTTAGTCACTTAGACACCACCACAAACGTTAGTTTCACCCTTTAGCAATAAAAATAATACAATTGGACAATAACTTTGATAAGGCGATATGAACAATTCAAAAGATGCATAAAATATTCTGTGATTTTG